ACTTTGGAAAGCAGTTTAGTTTTATTTTCTTTTTTCCTTTCAATTTTCCAGAGGGCATGTGTACTCACCAGAAAAAGATGAAGAGACAGAAAGAGAGGGAGAGGAGAAAGCATCACCTCCAATGAGGTGTGGTCATACCATAATCCCTTCTCCATTTCTCCATCCTGTCAAGGTCTTGGGCATGCATGCACAAGTCCCTGACGTGTTTTTCAACGTGGTAGGGACAGAATTCAAACTTCATGGTTGACCATGTGGGATCCAGCTCCCCTAACCACCAGGTCAGAGGGCTAGCTCTGGTTGTTTCTTAAAATGTTATGCTTACGCCTCCCAGAAGATCCAGCCATTTTACTCCTAGGTTTCTAATCAAGAAGCTTTATTTATAATAACTAAAACTAGAAATGACTACCACAGTGCTGGTGTGCACATACAGGAGGTAAAACTTTGTCGGAGGGCTATTTGACGACAAACAGCACAATCCTAAAATATACACAACTTCTGACATTAATGTCACTTCTAGGAATTGATCCTAAGTAAACAGGGAAGCACATAAAAATTTAGAAGTAAGAATATTTATATGTATATTCAATGACAGAAAAACACTGCAGATAATTTAGAAGACTAACATCAGAGAACTGGTTGAATAAGATAAAGTATCTCTTGCAAATGCAGTCATTAAAAATGAAACTGAGGGCAGTAGCAGGTGGCATGGTGAGTAAGGTGCTAGACTCCCATATGGCTGACTGTTGTCTGAGTCCCGGACCTGGCATCTTGCTTTCTCTCTGTTTCTCTCTGGTGAGTACATGGGCCTTATAGAAAAATTTTAAAATAATAATAATAATAATAATAAATAAAATAAATATTAAAAAATGAAATTGAGGAAGGCTATTTAAAGATATGGAAAGATATTTAATATATAACACTAACTACAAAAAGTTACAAGCATTATACAGAATGTGCTTCTTTTAGACAAAAGATTTGCATGATATGCATATTTATGTATAGGAAAAAGGTCTTTATACTAATTATCTTTGGGTTAGGTAATTATGGATAATTTTCCTTTTCTGCTTCTCCTTTTTAAGATGCTGTACAATGAAGATGTATTACTTTTATAATAAAAACTCCAATAAAAGTTATTTTTAAAAATATCAATGCTAATACCCTATAAGTGATACTGTGAGAAATATTAGTCTTGGTCTTTAGTGGCCAAAAAAAATATTTAACAGAAGTCTGCAAAAAAGTTTTAGTTTCTGCAGGGAGGCCTGAAATGTTGCTGCTCTATAAATGGAGCCCTGCAGGATACTGCTTGGGCCTGGACCACCAAAGGTGGTGGCATGGGCACTGGTCTTACCCTCCAGAGCAGTAGGCACAGGCTTGGCTTTCTTGCAAAAAGGATAGCTGTAAAGAGGAATGAAACACTTAGCACCTGTCTTGTGTAGGACAATGGATTCAGTTAGGTTGGGTCCACCCTGTACGGCTGAGCCATACTGGGCATTTTCTACATCTAAGCCATGCAGTTGAGTGTGAGACCAACAAGAGACTCATTAGTTCCAAGTTTCCAATTTTTTTTTTTTTTAATTTATGGAAACTGAGTCTCAGATGCATGCATATGTTGCTCAACCTATACCCCTTCTTGAAAGCTGTAGGGCTATATCAATGCCTACGAGTAATATCAATGCCAGGGCATCTGATGACTAAAATAGTCATTTCTAGAATAGACATGCCTAATGGGAATCTTAATGCTCAAGTCCATGAATTAGAGTTAGTTCTGATACATGACTTTAAAAAAATACTTGAGTGGGACCTGCAGATGGCAAAGTGGTTGCGTGGCTGGACTGCCATGTAGTCAACTATGGTTTGAGTTTTGGACCTGGTGGCTTGAAGCTCATGCCAGGCACATGGGCATACGTGCCCAAGATCCCAAGGAGGGAGAATGGAAAAAAGGGGATTGCAGTGTGGCTATCCTCCTAGGGCGTTACTTTTCACTTTCTCTGTCTCTCCAGCAAGTGCATGTGCCCTATAGTATAAACCTCTCCAAAAATTAAAAATAAATAACTTTAAAAAACACAAAAAATCCTTGATAACCCTTTTCTTCTTCCTCCCATGACATGAAAACATGAGAATCGAGGTCTATGCATTACGCTCCCTGTGCCACAGAACTGTAAACTTCTCTGAATCTGTTACAGCTTTGTACACGAAAGACAAGGGAGAATAACATAGAACGGAATCTCAGCACTTACTGACTGCAATGATATTGGCACAAAACTTTCATCCTATATGTCAACTGCCACCATGCTTGGTGGGAAATTAAATTCCAAGGCAGTGCCTGGGTTGAATGAAAAAGAGAATCACGATTGATTAGGGAGCTTCTGACTGTTGGGAGGAGTGATTAACAGTATCTTTGCTACGTATTTTTATCCTGGTCTAGAATATGTTATTTGTAGAACAGGGTTTCTTCATTAAGTCTCTCCCACTATTGATTATTCCCATGGGATATCAGATTATTTCTTCTCCAACATTACTTTTTCTATATCATTCTCCTACTTACAAACCCTCTTTCCCACAGAGTAAATCTACTCTTTTAGCCTAGTAAGCAAAGCTTTCACAATTGGATACCACTTACTGCTATTTCTTAGCAACCCTACAAAACAAAAAAACAAAAAACAAAAAATCCTTCCTTTAGAGCACACACTGTAGTCTAAATGGCCACCTATAGGAGCCGGGGATGGGAGCATATCTAGTGGGAGCAACTGAACTAACCTATGAGGATAGTAGCTGAGAAAGCTCAGGATGGAGGGAAGGCTTTAGAATTGTTTGTGTGAGCACCTGAGCTATGACTGAGTAAACAAGCTCTAGCTGAGGCTCACTGGTTATAATAGGCAAGTTTCCAACCCAGTTTAGCTGCTCATCATTGTTCTTAACACAGTGGTATTTTGCAAACATTCCTGAACAGGAACCTATACATATCTTGCACATTTTCATCTCAAACTCCTGATACTGCTTCACTGCAAGTGTCCTGCCTATTGGTCAAGGCATCATAGTAAGACTCTGGTATGTCTCAATCACTTCTCAAAGTCTTGACACTTGACATCATTCCCTAATTCATCTCCACAATTCCATGTAGGTCTCTCCTAATTCTACAGTGCTGGCTTGACACCGATGTTTGCCACTAGAGTCCATTTTTCCCAGGCAGTTGCTTGTAGGGGCTTTATGAACATCAACTCACTGTCTCATTCAAATGGAGCAATCTGGATGTGGACTGGGCTAGAAATGTGTCCTTTAACTGTTAGGTTTAAATGTCAGAGTAAAGTAACAAAGCACCATAAACTAGCAGTGGAATGCAGCAACACAAAGCACAGTAAGTTCTTAACTGCTTATGGCTAAAATGAGAATATTTATTATTCCAGAATAAAGGAGTATAGTAAATCTATTATAGACAAATATGAGCAGGTCAACTTGTCTGGCATGCAGAATAATACTTTAGTGACCCCAAAGAGTTATCAAAATTGAAAATATATGAATGCTGCACACCCTGCTAGTGACTGGGATATGACTGAGAGCTAATGATAGCTTCTTAAAGCGATGAGTCTTAAAAAAAAAAAAAAAGCTCAAAATGTGCACATTTAATATGAAATAAGCTACCATTTGTAAACTAGAAAATACGAATTCTGATCAACGCGATATGGAAGAACTTGTGTAAGTTATGGGAAATGAAACAGGGCTCCTTGTTACTGTATCTATGTCCTTTTTAAAAATCCAGATAAGAGGAACCAGAGGCTTTCCTACATGTTGAGAAGTTATGAAGATGCTTATCTGGATGTGAACTAGGATAGAAATATGTCTCTTAACGGTTAGATTTAAATGCCAGTGTAAAAATGTAACTTTAGATGATAAAGAAAATTGAAGATAATATTTTTGAGCTCTAACCTTAAAGATACAACCAGGTCTTATGGCTGTACTGATAAATCATTATAGTAGGACTGGGAACCCATGTGCTCTTGTTCCTGGTTAATTAGCAGGTAAACGAGTAGAGAAACTTTACACTTTGAGCCAAGGGAATAATTTTATCTATTGTTATTAACATTTGAGGCCACATAGAGTTAGCATAAAGATTTCCCCCACTTTGAGAACTTGCTTTCTCTTTGTTGTTCTTAAAAGCTTTCCTGCCTACCCCTTATCCCTTACCCAAAGGTTTAGGTTCACAGCATAATTAGGAGGAAGGTCCAGAAATTTCCCATATACTCCATGCCCCAACACATACATAGGTCTGTTATTTCTATTTTTTCAGGGTTTTGGGAAGCAGAATTCTTGTCCACCTCCAGAAGTCATGTGTGACATTTCTTCTGGCATCTCTGCGATTCTGGAGTGATGCCCTTGTCACACTCTGCTATCTGAGGGCACTAGCCAGGTGGGCAATAACTTAAGAAGGTTTCCAACAATAGAAGCCAGGTAGGTTGTACCTAGTGAAATTATTTAAACGCTTGCCTTGAGGCATCTGTCTGGTTTGTTTTTCAACTCTACTTGAAGAAGGCTGGCTTAAATAGAAACACCCAACTTTTGGAGGATGCTGATACTGCAGTTTTCTCCTTGAAAGCTGATTACAGTTTGAGTTTGGTGGGTGGAGAGGTTGCAGGAGAGCTCTGGGGAATGGTTAGCATGGAGAGAAGAGATACAGGAGCAATTCTTTATTACTGTATTCTTCTCCAAGTATTGTGAGTCAGTCTGATTGAGAGGATCTGGACTGTGGCATCAGCCCAAGAGGATTCATAAAGGAGCCATAATGGAATCTAGACGCACTATAGAGCCCAGACTAAGAACTGCACTCACCTCATATGGAAAGTCAGCCAAGTTTCCACTGGTGAGTCTGGATTCTGTAGGCAATTTAGTGATTTCCTGTTGGCCACCCCCTACTGCTGCCTCCCTCCCACCTGCAAGCAGTCACCCATCCATAAATCCTGTCCAGCCCTGGATTTCTGCCCAATGTTTTAGAGGATTGGACTCACCGAGGAGAGCGGAATTCCCAGGATCCAGGACCAGCTGTGTTCCCAGAGGAGACGTCAGCACCGAAGGCAGGTTTGGTCCAGTGGCTAAGAGCAGGGCCCTGATATCTTCCAACTGCATGGGGACCTGGGGCGGCTCTGTGAGAAGGCAGATGGTGAACCAGGCAGGTTAATGCATACAGGCTGTATTAAGGGAAGAGGGAAAGGTGAGTACACACATACACATACCCACACGTGTACATATAAGATAGGTGTGTACATGTAAGATAGGTATTACTATTGTTACCTTTTAACAACATTTTTCCTGTAAAGAAGGTGTACCTATCAAGGTTAATCTAAACTTTAAACTTAGTATTTTATGCCTGAAATAATAAAGGCCAGTAATAAGAACCAGGCATCTTAATCTCAGGAGTTCCTTACTTTATACCATAGTACCATTGGGTACTATTTGTAGGTAAATTAAACCATATTAAAACGACACTTAAAAGAAGCCAACTTTAGCATTAACTATATGCCAAGTCTTGTGCTAAACAGTTTCTGTACCATTTTTCATTTTATTCTTACAACATCCTTCAGAGGGAGGCACTTTGTTATTGTCCCCACAGATAGAGAAGTGTCACAAGATTTCTTTTTTGTAAGTTTATTTATGTCTTCAATGAGAAAGGGGGATGGAGAGAAAAGCACCCCTAAACAGACACTTCATGCTGAGAGCCTATCCCCAACTTCACCCAGCCAAGATCATGGGCACATGTGTGCCTGGCCTGCACAGAGATCTTGGGACATGAATCTGGAACTTTCCCATATGGCCTCAGCATGTGCAGTGTTGTATTACTGTTGAGACATTGTGGCTGGCCCAGGAATTTCTTATTTAAGAATTCCTGAGTGGCTTTTTCTATAAAGAAAATGACCTAGTTGTGAAGTGATAAGTTAATTTGCCTTGTGGTCTAGATTTTTATGTCCAACTAGGACCCAGATAAGCAGGACAGAATGATTACTGAGGAATGCTTTGTTATTCAAAATCTTATAAGGGGTGAGGACTGAAGTCATTAAAGGTCACAGCCAGTGTTAAAGGTGATAAAAATGGGATATATAGTTGCTTATTAACACTGGACAAATAAGAGGTGAGCACCCACTATCTTAGTGGTGGGATGGTCCCTGATTCTCCTGGAAAACAGCAGAATCCTTGGCTCCTCTCACTGTATCTCCTGAGGCTCTGAGAGTTGTACTCCCAAGGCTAGCTGCTGGCTTCTTCTCCAGAGCACTTGTTGGAGTGCAAGAAGCAGGAACACTGCTCTTGTAACTGGTGGTCATTTCAACAGTGTTCATCAAGGGCCTAACTCTGTGCCTTGTTGAGCACTTGGTAGGGAGGACAAATGAGTAAGTCATGATTGTGTCTTAGTCTATATAAGAAACATCTTCCATCTTTCTGGTGTTGACTGCCAAAGACCATTCCAGAGAGAAAACAATGCTGAATTTGGGATTATCCATGGGGACTTCAAAAATTTCATGGAAAAATAGAATTCAAGTATGAGTTTGTTGGCCCAGTTATGGTGGTGCAGGCAAGTAGCATGCTGCTTTGCAGTGCTGGAATCCACATGGTTGACCATGGGTTTGGATCCTGACTTGACCTGAAACATACTGGGCACATGTGCCTACTTAGGATTCTGACTAGCAGGAGGGCTGGGGGAAGGAGACCACAGTGTGATGAAACTCTGTCAAGGGTGCCTCCTACTCTCTCACACATGCTCTTTCTCTCATAAAAGAAATAAAATACATTTTAAAAAAGGATGAATTTATTATGGTGGAAAAAATTTAAAATCCAAGCACAGTTTTTTCATAATACACATTTTCCTTGAATTTCCTGATGACTCCTCGTGTGTGTGTGTGTGTGTGTGTGTGTGTGTGTGTACAATACCTCATTTAAAAACCTCTCTTCACATGGCAAAAAGGAAAAGCCAGGGTTTTTTTTTTCTTCAAAAAGAACAAGCCAGGGTTCAGGAATCCTCCATTTGTGCCACGGCTCTGTCACTCACTAACTTGGGCAAGTCACTTAGGAATATTAGGAATAATTGTTTTACCTCTATTTCTCTCTGTGCCTTAGTCTCCTCATCTATAAAATGAGGTTCCTTTCCAAGATCCCTTTCTGCTGTGGAATACCACGAGTTTAGGAACTGATAGTTGCAGTTTACTCAAAGCTAGTCTCTCTTCCTCCCCTCCTTCTTAGTATCTCCTCTTGAAAGGCAAGAAGCCTTTGCTTATTACCAAGAGTAAGAAGGGGAGGTTATGCCCAGTCTTCAAAACAATCAGCTCTCCTTGGGCCAAATGTTAGCCGCTCCTGATATCCTTACAGCTTCTACAGCATTTTCCTTCTTCAGAGCACGCTCGGTTGATCTTCCTGGGAAAACTAAATTCTCCAGGGGCAGAGGCCACCTCTTCTATTTCTCCTCAAGCTCTGAAGTGTTCAGCTAACATGGGACTTTGAGGCAATGTATAATGAATATTCATTCAACGACTATATGAATAAATAAATGATCTTAAATGAGATTGTAAATCTCATTACACTTAAAATGGAGCCAACTGGTAGTGTGGTGGTTAAGGCACCTGGATTCCGCATGGCTGAATATGTGGTTTGAGTCCTGGACCTGATGAAAAATACACTGGGCACATGCGAGTGAGTGCTCAAGATCCCCAGAGCAGACTGGAGAAAGTATTGTGGTGTGTCCAATTCCCCTGGCAGGGGCTTTAACTTTCCCTCTCTCTCTGTCTCCCTTCAAAGAGCACCTGCACCCTCTAGCAAATGAAAAATAAAACAAAACAAAAAAATCCCTTGTACTACAGTTTATGTCATAGAACTTGGCACTGCATCTCAGCTTTATACTAGAATCCCCTCTTCAAAAATTAAACCACATTCTTCTGGATTAAAAAAGATATTACTCTTATGTTCACAAAGCACCTATAAACAAACTCCAATTAATAAGCCAAGATCTCCAATCAAGAAAAGCCCTCAGCAACTGTATATAGCAGAGATAGTGTAATGGGAGAGTGGGAAAGGACAGAGGGTCAAACATAGGAAAAAAACATATATATACGTATACATATGTATGAAAGTAGAAATGGAATATTATTGATAACATGCTTGATTAAGCCACTATGCAGTTTATCCTAGATGGGAAACCACATTTAGTATGTTGTGATGATGCTCAGGGAATGAATGTTAGGTAATAAAAAAAAAAAAGTTGCAGGAAGAAAAAAAAACGCTAAAAAACAAAACAATTTTTACAATGTGATTTTTTTGGTACAGGCATACAATGTATAAATGAAGGTACTTAGTATACCCCTTATGTCAACTATGTGTAATACTGTATACAGTAAGTTTTCAACTACATTCTCCCCACTATATTTTATAACACTAAATATCATTCTTTCTAAAAAAAAAAAAAGAAAAAAGAAAAAGAAAAGCCCTCAGTGTAAGAGTATTAAAAGTGACTTCCCCCCATCAAGTTTGATTAAAATGGGAGGACGTCATGCTCTTCCGTGCCGTGTTCACAGTCACACCGTATTAGACTTGGAACGCAGTCAGAACCGGCTCAGAGAACACACACGCTCCATTGGCAAAGTCACAGTAGCAGCCACTCATCTCAGACTTTCATCTCTGTGAGCAGTGGCAACACGGAAGGGTTATGAGGGAGGAAAATCTCATCAGTAAGCACATAAGTCAGTGTGGGGCAACGGTCCCCACCTCTGGGCTCCAGACTAGCAGCTCTGCTGGACAACCCCCAATGCAAAACAAACGGCATCTTTCTCTGAGCCAATTTTCCGTGGCTTCCTGAGATGGCTGAGGTTTAAGCAGCTCCCATCAGGATGAAAACCCACCTGAGTCTCTCTGGAATTTGAGTGGGCAGGGGCTAGAGAACTTGCGTTTTAGTATACAATCAATTTGGGGCATGAAAACACAAGTATACAGTTGAGCTATTTTCCCCAAGGAAGTCCATGATGTATGTGTTGTGTGTACACATATATGTGACATGTAATTATTATGTGATTATTTCTCACTTTTTTTTCTTTTCTGTTGACAGCTTTCTCTTGATGGGAAAATAGCATATGTGCTCTAATAATTGCTCTTTCTAAAAATATCCCTCTCCCTCCCACACACTCTACCCCTAGACTCAGTGAGGAAGAAAGGAAGCAAAAAGAGTTCCAGCTCACAATATGGCCAAGTCTATACAGGGCAACCTCAAGTGGTGGCTGGCATCACAGTAGTCCATGTTAAGTACCTATTTTATGCTAGGAACCATACTAGACTTTCTACTTAGGAGTTCTTACATTTGGGGGTGCATGTGGAGACTCAAGGTGGACTAGATTATGCACTTCCTATAAAAGATTTTGCATGTATGAATTTTCCTGGAGGGGGCAATTCATAGTTTCATCCGATTCTCGAAGAAGTCCTTAATACAGAAGGAGTTAGGAATAATTGTTTTAACTCTATTTCCTCTGTTGGAGACCTTCGCTGCTCTCCTGCAATGTGGGTAATCCTTGTTTGGTGGGTTGCCACAGGGAGAGCAGTATCTAGGGCTTATCCAGGTGAAGTAACTTGCCTAAGGACACACAGTAAGAAGCAGGGCCAGGATTCAAGCTCAGGTTTGCCTGGTTCCAAAGTCTGCGTTTTTTCTAACAGATGGCGTTAAGGCGGTCAGACATAAAGAGGTATTAAGTTTCCCTCTTCTATCCTTCATTGAATCAGGGAAAAAAGGAGGTAGAATGTGTGTTATGCAGTCATCAAAACAGGGCCCAGAGGCAGCCAGCTTTATGTGTTTACCTAGGAGCAGTAGCTGGGTGTTCTCAGTCAGTTCTCCATGAAGATTGGCCGCCCTGCAGGAGTACAGGCCTTGATCCGATGAGGACACGTTTGTGAGCAGCAAGGAGCCCTCATGCAGATGGTGAGGGGAGCTCAGTTTACTTTTATTCCTGAACCAAGTGACTTCCGCTTCAGGCACACCTAGGAAGAAAAAACAATGAACTCATCAGTCCACACGAGTTCAGGTGAACCTAGAGGCATTTATAGCTTCTTGGCTAGCTTTCCTTGAGGCTGCTCTGCAGGAAGCATCTGTCTGGGCGTCTTCTACCATCCTTTGGCCAAACCAAATAATGACTTGAACCTCTCAGTTGTCTGCAGGCTTTCTGCCTTGTGAAACTTACACACACGAGGAAGAGGAGGAGGACAGTTAAAAGAAGAGGAAACTGGGGCAGTAGATAAAAGGCACTAGCCAAGGTGAAAGGGGACCACACAGATTCTTTGGAGAAAACACATTATAAAAATATGAGAATTAAATGTGTACATCCATGAAAAGGAGGATCTAAAATGACATGAAATGAACATATAATGTTGAGTAAGCAGAGCCAGATGACTACATACTCCATGCTTTCCTTCCTTTATAAAAGCAAAAACTGATAACATTAATTGGTTGCTGTTAGGAGTTGGAGGGTGTGGTTTGCCCGAGAAGGAGAGGGATGGAGAGTGTGACAGAGATGGGGGACCAGGGATTTGGCATGGATTATGCTCTCTTTCTTGATCTGGGGCTGGTTTGGTGAAAAGCATTCACTTGACATCCTGATGTTATGTGCACTTTACTGTACAGATTATATATCAATAAAATGTTACGTGAAACAAAATGTTAAAGATGTGTGTGAACAAGACAAATGCAAATGGTGAGGTTTTTATAAGTGTGGACATTCTAAATAGGAAACATGCTTGTGTTTTTGAAGCCTATGTCTTCTCGGAACAAGAGAACATGAAATGGTGGTGGTTTTAGTAGGAGCATAGAACCAGGACAAAAGGAAAGTGAGTTGCCCTTCTCACAATCTGTGTTTACTCTCTGTGAATGAGAGCTTGGGGTCTTGTGTGCATGGGTGTTTGTCTTTGGAAGTCAAGGAGAGCCCAAACTCCCTGGGAATTTCCTTGTGGTTGATCTGCTGATAAGCAGGTTGTGGGAATGTAGGAGAGACTTCTTAGATGGTCTTCACTGGGGGCTCTATGGTAGGTCAGGCTTAGAGTGAGTTGGGAGACAGAAAGTCTGTGGCATTGATTCCACAGGTCTCCAGAGAGCAGAAAGCACCATCTCTTACACTATCCAGCCTGCTGACCCTGCTCACAGAGTTTACTCATAGCACCCTGGCATGTATCCAGGGCATGTTTAGAATGTCAAATCCTGATAGATGGAGTTGAATCCAAGAATAGCCACAGAGAAGACCTTTAGTCCAATGTTGTCCCCGAGTTGGGGCTGGATTTTGCAAGGCAAGGGCAGTGTCGCCCTGAGGACCAGCCTACTGTTGAGGATATCTGGAGCTACCTGTGTGTTAACTGTTCTTGAGACCAGCTAGAGGAAGAAGGGCAGGCTATCAGAGGGGAGCAGAGGCTCAGTTACTACATCTTGTCATATCGGGGGAGGCAGACACTAATTTGGATCAAACGATATGGCACTTGATGCTTGAGAGCATGAGAAGGACCAGGCTGGCATCATCTCGAAACACCTGGAGTAAAGATACATGCGAGGGGCAGAGAGGCTGATCTTTCACTGCAGCACCACTAGGGAGAGCAAGAGCATCATGCTGCCACCCATGCCAGCTTGGACTTCAGACTATCAGCTCAGTTTTTATGTGTTTTAAAAAAATTTAAAAATCCACAGCATTTCGTAGAAAGTCTCTGAAAAGTAAATTAAAGAAAAAATACACCCAGTCAGTCCTCCTGTGAAAGCCCAAGGAAAAATGAGGCCCTACAAACCATTTTCTACAAGTATTCATT